CTCTCTCACACACACACACACACACACACACACACACTCTCTCTCACACACTCACACTCACACACACACACAGAGTTCATGTCACTTCCTGTTTGTTCCTGAACACCCCTCCGCTCTGCTGCGGCGTCCCAGAATCCTCAGAAGAGGAGCCTGCTCCACTGGTTCCGTGCCGCTCCGGCTCCGGCCGAGTTCCGCTCGCCGCTTTGCAGACGCCCACCCTTCCCAGGCAGCCTTAGCAACTGGCGCGATGTCCAGGAAGTCAGAACGGCAGGGTCAGAGGTCAAGGCCTGCAGGCCTGCGATGGTCAGTGAGGGTCAGAGCAGAGAGCAGGACGTGTGGTCAGAGCAGAGACACCTCAGCAGGGTAGGTCAAAGGTCAGCAGGGTCAGGAGAAGACACGTCACACGTTGTGCTGTTGATGTCAAAGGTCGTGCGTCCAATCAAACACTGTTATTTTAATATGGTTTAATCTGTCACATGGTAGAAGCTCATCAGATTAGACGAATGCGACTGATATTGCTATAATAACGATCAAACAAATCTACCAGAAACATTTTAACTCATAGAGATGATTGATTTATATTGGATTTTTCAGCACGGAATAATAAATACACAGATTTTTGGATTATCATAAATTAACATTCCACAGCATTATTATTCTAATAAACAATTACCTTTAGCAAAACCCCTTATAATACCTCATGTTAATGCCCTTACAAACAAACTTTCAACAAATTACATGATTTAAAACAGTAAAATAAAATGTCTACACATGCATATGGATAGATAATAATAATAATAACAACCAAAAAGTAACTAAATAAAAATATAATATAAATAGAAAAGAAAAAATGGGGACAAAAATATTTATTTTGATGGTTTAACTATGAAAATGAAGAAATTAAGACAGCCAAAGGTGTTAGTATTGTAACTTAGTTATAATGTAAAATATAAACGTTAGACTCTCACGGCTCAGAAATTGTACATATAAATGTAAAATAAAATTATTATTATTATGTTGTTTTTCTTAAATACTCAAATTTTTATTTTACATTGAAATATTAATATTAAAAAAAATAAATCAATTATTAAAAAGTAATAAGTGAAAGTAATATTTCTGATTTTGTTTTTAGTAATTTTTATATTTTTATTTAGTAATAATAGTATTAATAATAATAATTTGATATTTTTAATATTTTAATTTAATTTAGATATACATTTATTTTAAAGCCTTATATAATCACAAAATGTTGGCCAAATAGATTTTTTCCCACAATTTCACAATTAAAAAATAATATTTGAAATAAATGTTAACTGAAATAAGGTAAGCTTAAGTTCCTTTATATTTTATTTTATTTCATTTCAGCTAGTTTTCCAGGCAACATTTTCCTTTAGTTTAACTTGAATTTCTAAAATAAAATAAAACGAATGAAATCTATAGACAAAAAAACTAATAAAATGTATGAAAACACACAACAAAATTACTAAAACTTGAACAAAAATTAAAAACAGAAAATATAAGAATGAAATCTAATTCAAAATATTAACAAAAACTATAATAGTATATCAGTGATACTGAAATAACTCTAAATAAATAAAATAAATATATATAGAGCTGTGTGATAGCAATGATATAAACTTATTTATTGACTAATATTTTATTTTTTAAAGAATTTATTAATTTCAGTGATTTAAAAAATCATGCTTTTAAAATGAGGCTTATTCGTGGATGCAGGTTTTCACGAGCGTTTAAATCTCGATTCTTTGAATACAAAATAAAGTTACCGAAGGGGTGAATTAAAATAGGTTGATTTTTAGTCATTTCTTAAAGGGATAGTTCACCCAAAAATGAAAATGTGATGTTTATCTGCGTACCCCCAGGGCATCCGAGATGTAGGTGACTTTGTTTCTTCAGTAGAACACAAACGGAGATTTTTAACTCAAACCGTTGCAGTCTGTCAGTCATATAATGGAAGTGGATGGGAATCACGGCTTTGAGAGTCAAAAAAACATACACAAATAAAACTAAATTAAACCCTGCAGCTCGTGACGATACATTGGTGTGTAAAGAGACGAAACGATAGGTCTGTGCAAGAAACTGAACAGTATTTATATCGTTTTTTACCTCTGATTCACCGCAATGTCAGAACTGTCCTGAGCACGTGACGCGTCTTCTTCTTCTTGCTTTACAGCGGATCGCAGACTTATAAGTGCATTACCGCCACCTATCTCTCAAATGGACCATTGACACTCTATCTACAATCTCAATTAGGAGTGTCAATGGTCCATTTGAGAGATAGGGGGCAGTAATGCACTTGTAAGTCAGCGATCCGCCGTAAAGCAAGAAGAAGAAGAAGA